TAAAAGAACCACTTTTAGCAGAACAAGCTAGATGGGAAAGGGAGCGACCAGTAAATACTATTTTAAAAACCCTTGTTTAACGGGAAAAATCTTATTTGTTGTGAAACTGCTAAAATAGCATTCGAAACCATTATACAAACAATTGGGGGTCCTGAAGAAAAGACTAGAGCTGCAAAGTTATTAAATAGAGTTACAACTTTACCAGATGATGCCAATCGAGATGATGATTTTTTTCAAAGTATTAAAATATGTGGAAGGATAAGCCAAGATCAAAAATAATATTTTTGTTTGGACATTTCTTAAAGGCCATTACTGTGACTGCCAATCAAGGATTTATTGAAGCTGCTAAACAACAATCTTTTGAGCCAGTTGTGTTTTTGCATGAACCAAGGCGTTAACAGAATTGAAACAGATCCAAATCATATAATTTGATTTTATTTTTAGCTGTATGTGACCTGAGATGTCTTATTTTTATTTACCTTTATCAAACTTGAATTGAACTTGTTTAACATAAAATTATTATCATTAGGAAGAATAACTTTTAATTTAAAAATAATATAGAATAAAAAGTAGATTATTTTGTTATATTGTGTTATATTTAATTTATTTTCTTATTAAATAAGCAAAAGAAAATGACTTACAAAGAATCAAACTATTTTATTTGTAAACCTTTATCTATTTTTTAATATAGCTTAGAATATATTCACACTTTTATTTTTCTTTGAATATCAATTAAACTTGTAACTAAATTATATCTGGTTTTAGCGACTTGAAGATATATAATGAATATTACATCTTATAGATATGTAATTTCACTTCTCGGAATATATTATATTTGAACATAAATATATATTATATTATATTTATTATCATTATTACTATTATTTATGTAATATATTTATTGATTATATATTACTAATGATATTTAATTTTTCAGGCAATGGAAGAAGGCATTGACCTCAAATCAAAGCTGCCAAATCGGCTTAATGAATTGTTACAAAAAAGGTAATTTCTATATATATATATATAACTTGAATCTTCTTTAAAACTATTTTATATTTTATATTTTCTAGTTGGAGTAGAAACTGCACAGAATAATATTAAAGTCTGATATAGAGTTACAAGATATGGCCTCATTTTCTTCAGATGATTTAAAGTTTTTGAAAAAATCTGCTGCAGAAATTATATTGCATAAAATGCAGTTTTCTACAGGTGAAAACAGAATTCTTATCCTATAATTTTTGATTGTTCAATTAATGTTGTCCCTCATACATTTCATAGGATTAGAACTATATATGAATACATGTCATCATATCAAAAAAATTAAAATTGGATGTCCTTTAATTGATAGAATTTTGGATGGTGGATTAACTTGCAGAGGAATTACAGAAATTCCAGGTGAAAGTGGAACTGGAAAGACACAAATATGCTTACAGTTATGTATAATGGTTCAGTACCCGGAAGAAATTGGTGGTCTAAATGCAGGTTTATATAAATTATATCTGCAGGTTTATATAAATTATATCTCGATTATATATTATAACCAAGTCTTTAATATTATAAACCAAATAGGGTGCAGTTTATATTTGTACAGAAGATGTCTTTCCTAGCAAGAGACTTCAGCAATTGTTTCAAACATTCCCAGTTGCTTTTGCCAAACGATATAGGTTGAAAACAAGTTTCACAACACAATTTGCTGATAATATCTATATAGAACATGCTTCTGATGCAGTAAGAGAATCATTTTTTAAACCATCATACAAAAAAATTGAATTATTCTCACAATCATGTGTTACCTAATTACATTTGACTATTATAAATATTTATAATGAATTTGAGAAGAGCAATTTGTAAATGTAAAAAAATAATTATATATCTTCCATAAATTAAATGAGATAAACATTAGAACCAACCTTTTACAAAACATTGTTTTTTTATAGGAAAGTCTGGTAAAAATTATTTGCAATGATGTACCACGTTTAATGGCAAATAAAAAAATAGGCTTAGTTGTAATTGATTCAATTGCAGCAGTTTTTCGAATTGAATGTGTGTCACCAAAGAGATCAAATATGATGCGGTCAATTGCATTAACTCTGCATAAGCTGGCTAAATCTTATGAATCTGCAATAATATGTGTGAATCAGGTAAATATATTAAATTATAACTCACAGAATTGAGATTACTATTTATTTGTATTTTGCACAGGTTAGTTCTAATATCTACAATAACTCCTTAGTACCATGTTTAGGACTTTCTTGGGCTAACTTAGTCACAACAAAATTCAACTGCATTATGATTTTGGGAACAAACAATTTCCTAATGAAGGGCAGAAATCTTCCAGAATTTTTAGAGTTGCATCTGCACCACATTTACCACCAAATTCAATTTCTTATGAAGTTACGGAAGCTGGAATTTCGGGTAAATAAGAAAATAACTCTAAATGTTAAATGCTAATAAGAAAAAATGGTTTTGTCAATACCAATTTGAAAATTTATTAAACGTATATTGGAAGTTACACTGAATGTAGTTTATGAAAAAATGTTTTATCTTTATAAATCTTATACTTAACACAAACTAAAATCTATATTCAATATCATAACAGTTACTTGTTAATGACGATAAGCACTTATATCTTATTTCATAATGTTAAAAACACTTCTCTTATTCCATAAGTAAAGCTCCAGATGCATAGCTTACACTTGAATCGGCCATAGTTACACATTGTGAACTTTGGGCATATTGTAAAAATTTCAAAGACATCTTGTAACCCGATCTTTGTAAACTTGCTACAGCCTTTAATGCAAAAAAATAAACAAAGTTACAAAGATGATCATGGCATAAAATTTTTATCTTATATATAGCAAAGTGGATAATATTTACCTGCAAAAGAACACCTATTGGATGTCTACCACAAATAGTATTTCCATATTTCTTTAAGTAAGAATAGAAAGATTCAGGATCCAGGTTTTCAATAATATCCATTCCCTAAAGAATAATTGAGTTATAAGTGTGAATAATTTTAGCCAACTAGTATAAAATACTACTTACAAGTTTATCAAGATTTTCAATAGATTGATAAATTTTTGTA